ATCAAATCTTATGATTTTAAACAGAATGTTGACGAACCTTGTGTTTATAAAAGGATAGTCAACTCTACAGTAGCTTTCCTGGTGTTTTACGTTGACAATATCTTACTCATTGGAAATGATGTGGGATTTCTATTTGACATTAAGCATTGGCTAGCGACACAATTCCAAATGAAAGATTTGGGAGAGGCTCAGTTTGTTCTTGGAATCCAAATTGTTCGGAATCGCAAGAACAAATCACTAGCATTGTCTCAGGCATCGTACATCGACAAAATATTGATTCAATATAAGATGCAGGACTTCAAGAAAGAATTATTACCTTTCAGGCATGAAATTCATTTGTTGAAGGAACAAAGTCCTAAGAAACCTCAAGAAGTTGAGGATATGAGACACATTCCCTATGCATCAGCGGTCGATAGTCTGATGTATGCCATGCTGTGTACCCGGCCCGACGTATGCTATGCTGTGGGAATTGTCAGCAGATATCAATCCAATCCGGGACGTGCTCATTGGACTGTAGTTAAGAATATCCTCAAGTATCTTAGGAGAACGAGGGACTATATGCCAATGTACGGTGCTAAGGATCTGATCCTTAGCACCGTACACTGACTCAGATTTTTAGACCGATGTAAATTCGAGGAAATTGACATCAGGATCTGTCTTCACTATGAACGAAGGAGCAATAATATGGAGAAGCATACAATAAGGTTGCATTGCTTATTCCACCATGGAGGCTGAGTATGTTGCTGCTTGTGAAGTAGCGAAAGAATTTGTATGGCTTAGAAAGTTCTTAACTGATTTGGAAGTCGTTCCAGATATGCATCTTCCCGTCACTCTCTATTGTGATAACAATGGAGCAGTTGCAAATTCAAAAGAACTAAGAAGCCATAAGCGAGGAAAACATATTGAGCGCAAATATAATCTCATAAAGGAGATTGTGCAACGAGGAGATGTGATCGTCACACAAATAGCTTTAGAGAACAACATTGCTGATCCATTTACAAAACCCCTCATGGCTAAAGTGTTTGAATGGCACCTAGTGAGTCTAGGACTACGAGTTATGTAATCTAGGGCAAGTGGGAGAAAAGGCATGAGTATGTGATGACCTAGTTTATTGTATTTATGTCTTTCTCTCTGCTCAATGTTATAAAACCCCACTAGAGTTTTAGTCCAAGTGGAAGTTTGTTGGGTTTTATGTCCTAAAACTCATGGTTTGTAAACAAAAACATATTCTATTTTCAATAAAGTTATTATTGTTGTTTA